GGTGATGCTCTTTGGGTTTAATCTCCTGCAGTTCTCACGCGGTGGGGTTGGTGGGCTGCTTTTCGGGGGCACCCCCGTGGGCTCGACGGGCGGCGTGGAGGAAGACCTCCCAATTCCACCCCCGCCACTGTGGGGGAAGGATGTCGCACTGGTGACTTCCTCGTCAGGACGTCTTACGACAACCACGACCACGCCGAATCATTCTGCAAATAATGCCTTGAAAGAGGTGCCACCGCCGGGAGGGTGCGCGGTTTGTGGAAAAAGTGTGAGCAATGCGGCGGTGTGCACCGCAAGCGGCGTCGTCGGCTGCTATCCCTGCCTGCAGAGCTACGTCCGGGAGCATCATTGCTGCCCAGTAAGCGGGAAGAGCGCCACGGTTGAGCAGATTCGACGAATTTTTGAGTGTTGAAAATGGAAAAGAATGAAACTAACCGACAAAAGGAAGAACAATATATCTAGAGTCTCAGAGGGTAGAGGAATAGACAAAAAATGCCAAGGCTTCTGTCTTTCTTTTTTTGAGAGAGGGGGGGAGGAGGGGGGAAGGAAGACTAATTTTGGTTGTCCTTTATTTTTTAATCACATTTAAGGATTTAAAATGGTCTTTATGCTTTTGCGATGTTATTTTAAAGTGGTAACTTATCAAAAGTTGAACGTTCGCTTTCCTCTCCCTATCCTTGTGTGTATACTTATTACTTTGCTAAAGGATTAAATATGGTCACACAATACAATTTATATAAATATATAAGCATATTTATATTCCCGATCTTTGTATAAACCTGTTCGGAGCGCGTACACACATAAAAGAAAAAAGAATAATTGGAATGGTGGAAGCATATTTATAACTTTTTAGGAATATCTTCCACTATAATGGTGCACGCTTTTCTTTATATTGGTCCTATGTAAGGAGGGATTTATCAAAATGAAAAACATTTATTTAAAAAAAAAGGGAAAGAAGGGAATGACTGGTATGAAGGTAAGTTCCTAATTACCCCTTTATTCCTCCTTTTTGGATATTTTTCTTACTAGGGAAATCCCATTTTTAGTATTCTCTCTTTTAGTAAGTTCTTATAAATGGGAGGTATTAAAGGTGGTGTTGGGAGCTTTCTTTTGCGGCGCGCCGCACCTAAAAGTGTTAGACAGCGCCATCTCACGGGCCCACAGTTTAACAAGAGAAAGTTTTTTAACTTTCCAAAAGGGTATCATCGTCTTCATCGTCGTGTTGCGCCTATGATGCAAGCCACATCCTCCCCAACGCACAAACTGGAGTATGAACGTTTTGCGCATCTCCCAGGCGACGTACGGACACGCCCTGCTGAAGATTTTACCTTTACTTCACGCGCAGATAAGGCGTTATACGCGTGGAAAAAGCATGGGAAACTTCAGCTTTATCAAATAGGCGGAAAAAGGGAGGTTTTTGTTTGCTATCGTTGTGGATATCCTGTGAGTAGCCGATTGGTTGCCATTCGTGAGGATAATTGGGATTATAGGATGTGCTATAATTGCTATACCTCGGTGATGGTGAAGGGAATGGAGAACCTTATCTGATCTCTCGCATTTTATTAGTTGCTGTTCTTATTGGAATGCATTGCTTCTTTTCCTCTTGATGGGAATAAAAAAGTGAACAATATATGCCCTCTTAGAATGCACCTACCCCTGCAATAGAATAATGAACTCTTGGATATATCATATGATAACTCTTGATAACTAATATTCCTCTTTTTTTTTTCCCCACATATATACCGATGTATATTTCTATATCTCCATACAGAGTGCTTGCATGTGCATGTTTATAGATTTTTAGAAATGACAACCTATTATTATGCTGATACTTCTAAAGAGGAGGTGTCCCTAGCAAATGAACAACAACAAGAGCAGCAGCCGGATATACGCCCGGAGGGAATGTCAAAAAAGAAGGATGATATCATCCAGCGCGTTGCAGAATTCGTTGTCAACTCATGCGATAGTGCCAAGTATCAACATAAACTACGCCGCCGGACGAAATTCAACTCCTATTTCGCCTTTTTAGATCCTGAGCACCCTTACCACGCGTATTATGAATATCTTATCAAATCCTATCAGTATTGGAAAGGCGTGCAGGATGCGCTTTCAGCGAACGCAGGGCAAGATCAGGAGGCCTACGCGTATTATCAACAACAATTAATGGAAGAACAGCAACAACAGCAGCAGCAAGACGGCGTTCATCCGTATTATGCCTACCCCACCGGGGAGGGCTCCTACGCTAACGCGGAGGCCTTTTCCTATGGGGATTTAGTGGGTTCTACAGAAGGTGAAAGAGGTCATTATGAGGGGTTTCAACCCCCATATCCAACCTCGTCCTATGAAAATTCCTATGACCCGACAGCAGCACCCATAATGAATGAAAATGATGAGGAAGAGGCGGAGGAAGAGTACGAATTAATAATCGAAAACGGAGTGCAGAAACTGGTAGCTAAAAAGAGATGATATCCTTCCAAAAGAAACCAACGGTACTAATTGCAATTACAAAGGAAATAAATCATCCTGTGATGGAAAAGCCTAAGTGATATCCTTTTTGGTGGTAAATCTGTGATGACATACTTATACGCCGCTAACACTCATATTGGGGATTGATGTTTTCTTTCCTTTAATTCAACATGTTTTTCTTCCTTTCCCCCTCGCTTTGAGTAACTTCATTGCGTTTATAGAATCAAACACATCGTTGTTCAGCACTTAACTAAGCAAACCACTTTCTACGATATTTTCCCCCATTTTTCAAATAAAAAAAGTGTAAACGACCAAAGAATATGGGGACCTGCTGTACAACTATCGCGCAGTCCGAGGTGGGGGTGATGGAATCATGCGGGAAGTTCAACGGGACGGCTTCCCCGGGGTTTCATTGTTTGGGCTGTTGTTGGAATGAAGTCGTGGCGCGGATTTCCATTCGTTTGCAGGAGCTCCAAATGCACGTGGAGTCGAAAACAAAGGATAACGTTTTCGTCAACGTTTCCCTCACTCTTCAGCTTCAGGTCATTCCGGATCGAATTGAGGAGATGCACTACCGCGCGCTTAATCCGTATACGATTCTGAAGGATAACGTCTGCAATTCCATCCGCGCGAAGATTCCCTTGTATAAGCTGGAGGCGTTGTACATCGAACGCGGGACGATCTCGCAGCAAATTAAGTCCGAGGTCGATCTGAAGATGGAGAATTACGGGATGGAGATCGTCTCGGTGTTGATTTCCGATATCAACCCCGGAGTTCGAATCACAAATACGATGAATGAGATTCAGCGTTTACAGCGGCTTCGCGTGGCCTCCGTTGGGGAGGCCGAAACAAAGAAACTTCAGCGCGTCCGCGCGGCCGAGGCCCAGTGCGATGCCCGGCGGCTTGCCGGTGAGGGTTTGGCCGAACAACGAAAGGCCATCGTGGCGGGGTTAATGGAATCGGTGAATTCAGTGCAAGGCGAGATCAGCGATCTTTCCACGATGGACGCGACGAATATGTTAATTATGAATCAATACTACGATACGTTGCAGAATGTCGCAGTGAATGCAAAATCGACCTTGATGCTTCTGGAGGCTACCGGTGGTCTGGAGAAGGCGATTTCGCAATTAAAAACTGGAGCGTTGAAGCTAATGAAATAAAATGAGACTTACTATAGAGATAATAAATTAGCAAGTTGCTTTTTGGTACTATTTTGTATTTTTATCGATTCTTATTGATCTTTTATTCTGCTTGCTTGCCTTTGGCACCCCAACTGAAGACACTACATCAATATTGTGTCTGTATCTATGGATTGATTTTTTTTCCATAAGCACATATTAATCTATAGAACTATTAACATTTCTCAAATACTAAAAGATTTCAATCCCATACATGAAAATACGAATCTAAAATAATTTGATTCGCATACAGGACACACAATATTTTTTATTGGATGTTATTTACTTTCCTTCATTGAATTTATCTTTTTTTATTATTTTGCCATCAGTAAACTATCTATCATTGACCCATGCTCCCCACTAAAACTAGACATTTTTTCGTCCCATGATGGAGTTGAATTGATATATAGCGGAACTCTGATTCTTTTAAAGCGGAAAATGGCTCAATTCCCACAGCCCTCCTGTTGGCCCTTCCGCTGTGACATTTTTATCCCTTTTCTGTGACACAACTTCAGGGCCCCCCTCCCCTCATCCTTCCTTTTTTCCCTCTTTTGTCTCATTCAACGCTAGAATAAAAGTATCATGAGCAACGAGGCAATTTGTTGTTGTTTTTGCGTCCACACGGCTTCCTATGGGGTAGTGGAGCAGTGCGGGAAGTTCAATCGCCTGGCTGACCCCGGCTTTCATTGTTTAATCCCCTGCTTCGATTCTGTTCGCGGCTTCGTCCCACTCGGGTTAAATAATACCGTCGTGGATGTGAGCACGAAAACCCGAGATAACGCGGTTGTTCGCGTGCAAGTTTGCATTCATTACCGCGTCGTGAAGGAAAATGTTTCACTCGCCTTCTATCGCCTGACCGATCCGTCGGAGCAGATCGGGAGCTTCGCTGGGAGCATCGTCCGCGGCGAGGTACCGAAGTATACCTTGGATGAGATCTTTTTGATGTCGAATGAAATTAAAAAAGTCATTGACATCGAGCTTTCTGATCGTCTGAATGATTACGGGTATATCCTCGAGGGGACGTTGCTCACGAAGATCGACCCAAGCGTCGAGGTCAAGGAAGCAATCTCGCAAACGCAGCTTAACGAGTATATCCGCATGGCCGCCGAGCATAACGCCGAACTTCAACGAATTCTCACCTTAAAAGAGGCTGAGGCAAATTATGAAGAAATGCGGCTTTCCGGCGTCGGACTCGCGCAGGAGCGAAAAGCGATCATGAAAGGCCTACAGACGAGTATTGAGCAGTTCGTGAACGCGGTGCCCGGGATGGACGCAAAAGGGGTGATGAATCTGCTGCTTTTGAATCAATATTTCGATTCAATGAAGGAAATAGGAAAGAATAAAAATAATCGTGTGGTGCTAATGCCTGGGGCCGCGGGCCCTTCGTCGGGGATCCTGACGGACGTCTTGGCTTCGCAAATGTTTTCAAAAGAAATGGTGTAAGAACACCTCCCACCATTACCACCTTACTTTGCTTTTTCTTTTTTTCACCTTCTTGGTTCCCCTTTAGATGATCAAAATGTGCAAAGAATAATATAATGGCAAAAATGAGCGTTTTTTTTTCAATTTAGTACATTTTTGACACAGAAATGTGTGTGTGCGATAGATAGAATTTGTAATAAAGTTTTCTAGTTGTGTGTGATAAAATTGAAGGAGGGGGGAGGGGGGGTTAAAACAAAAAAGAGAGTTTTCTCTACAAAATAAAAAGACATACTTTATTCCTGTGATATCTGATAGTAAAGGTTTATCATTTTGGATTTTTATTTATATATTTTACAATGCTTATGCAAACTGCCTCCTCCTCTGGATTAAGATCGTCCCTTTTTCATACTTTTTGCGATATGTTGTATTTCTTGAAATGATAAGAATACAACCAAATAATTTTAATTTCTTTTCAACGTCATAGTTTTTTCCATATCTTCTTTAATAAATTATATTATTTCATTTAACCCTGAATATCGCGAGTCTCGGATACATAGAATCAATACGATAGAAAATGTTTAGGTGTCAATATCCCTATCCATACGTATACACCAATATAAACTTTGTAACTATGCTTTTTTACCATGTCCTTTTCACATTTTGATGTTAACAATACAAACAAGCAATAATAGTGAAAAGATGTTAAAGGAAAGTAGTGCTATTATTCCCTTACTGTAGTAGATATACTTATTGTTGTCTAAAAATCCCATTCGGCGATCTGTAATGCAACGAAACAGCACCACGTTGCGAATTTAAGAGTAGTTAACTGATCACCTTAAAGTATCAATAGGTGATGTGACAAGAGTTTGAGCAAAGCAGCTTAGCAATATATCATCACGCTTTGGAGTCTACAGTATTCCGATAAATCTTTATACAGTATTAATTTTGGAGTATGATGCAGTCAGATGATTTGATACTTCAAATGATGAAATCATCCTATACAGTATCAAGGCCTAAACTACAATGTTTTTGTTTAAAATACATGGTGTTTGCTTTTATTATTTTCAATACATTTCCGTTAGTAACGATATCTAATCAACACTTCACACCGTTTATCTGCCTTTTTTTTTTTGACATATCTTCCAAGTTGAGTTTTTGAATGAACTAATGCTTTATGGAATGTGGACATCTTCCCCTTCATTTCAGTCCTCTTTCATGTTATCAACTACCTTTCTGTGTGACCTTTTTTTTCTTTTATTATGGATATCTTCCTTTTTCCCCTATCAATAAAAGTACAATTCAAAAAATAACGCATAGATTTACTTACCTTTTATTCTTATTATCACAAGTTATTTTGATTTATAGATAGATTCAATTACGTCTTGCATATTCGTGTATTTGATTACACCCACATATATTATCTTATTTCTCTTTATTCAACTCTTCATAGACATCTAAAGGGCTCTGTTTAACTTCGAGCCTCAAAAAAAAACGAATTCATCACGTTAGCGCAATGAATCGTCAACGTAGGGAGGTTTCTTTTTCTCCCGAAGTTCTTTCCTATCCTGAGTTTTCACTGAAAACTCCAAGCAAAGCGCAAGGTAATACCAATTCCTTGGATAGAATTTCAGATTCTCTTTTATGGGGTGCACGAAAGAGATTGGATCTAGATACGCCGCACCTGGTACGAGATTCCTCCGAGGAGCGAACCTCCGCAGAGAATGAAGCCGAAGAGGCACTGCGACACCGCGAATACCCGCTTCGCCGCCCCGAGAAGGCAAGCGCGGCGGACTCCTCTTACTTAGCCGGTACCCCCTACCCCGAACCGAGACGCGAAGGCGATTACACGGGTTCCCCCTCATCCCTGCAGGGTGGCCGTACGCGCCATGGGGAGGAAGAGGGTTCCTTGAATGCGGCCTTCAGAGGGGGGACCCCTACGCCTATGACGGGGCCCTTGACGGACCTCAACACGCGTAACAGCAACACAGCTAACCGCAACGCTTGTAACAGAAGTACTTGTAACAGCAACGCTTGTAACAATTACACTAGTAATCCTTGTGAGTCCTCCAACTCGGCGTCGGGTCCGTTCTCGACGCCTTTTTGCACCTTTCAGAAGAATTCTCACCGGGTCGACGCCTTTTTAAAATCCGTCGGCTCCCCGCAGGGGGCGACGGCGGAGGAGCTCTACTCGGCCTCCACCGCCGGGCTCTCCTCCAGCGTCGGCCACACACAAAAAAAGAAAAAAAAAACTCCCCCCCAACCCCCCTCTCCGCATCTTCACGACGAACGTTTAGTGGAGTTTTCGGTCTTGAATTCGCCCTCCCGAGCCGCGGTGTCTTCTTCAATGGAGTTGGATGAGGAGGTGCAGTCCGCTTTATTATTCGCCTCCGCATCGCCTACGAGAGTGGCTTACCCTTCTTCAGAGAAAGGCGTGGCGAAGTGGTCTTTGACCCACCACGCTTCCCCGAGTATTGCGGAAGAAGGAACCTCCTCCTCGGCTCCTTTTATTAAAGCTTCTTCATCATCTTCTGGATTAGTATTATCCTCCTCATCTCCTTTGTTGCTTTTGTCCACCCTACACGAAAACGAACCCAAACAAGGGGAAAGGGAGTCGACATGGCCGGTTGAGCGCGTGTTGTTCACCGACACAGCCGACGTCGATAATGGAGAGATCCTCATCGAGCTTAGCTGTGAACGCAGCCTAACGAACGACGAGGAGGAGAAGGAGAAAAAGGAAACGATGGGAGAATGGGTGGAGTCCTGTGAAGGAATCCCAACGGCGGAGCGTTTAGAGCGAATCGCCAACGGCAATCTCATCTTTGGCGTAGAGGAGGTTCGTCGGCGGTATGCTGGGAGCCTTACCGAGGCGGAGTGTGAAAATAACGAGCTGCTTTCTTTTCTAGCATGGTCGGAGCAGCGGGAGGCGCTGAAAAAACGAACGCTTTATGCGTTCTGGAATCATTTGCAACACTCTAAATCAACTCGCAATGAGGAGGTGAAGAATTCTATGACAGAATGGACTATGCCTAAATCTTTTCCTTCGTTTAACTCATCCCCGCATGAGTCTGAGGGTGGTGCGTATCGCGATATTTACCTTCACGCCTACGCCCTACGTGATTTTTCACTTCCGCTTGCAAGCGCGCAAGGGCAAAAATGCGGAGCGGTATCTCACCATGAAGTCTACTCTAGTGAATCTCCCCCAGCGGTTTACGTTGCCCCTCCTGCAGGAAAATCGACCCAAAATACCACAAATAACAATCCAAATTCAACCCCCATGCGGTCTTTAACACCGCAATCTTCACCTGCGTGTTTTATTGAGTGGATCTCGCGGCATATTGACTTCTACAGTGACTTAGTTTTTCCACCTGGTCTGGCGTTAATTCCCTCGTGAAAACTTTCCGAGGGAGGGCAAATCACGAAAAGGAAAATTCACTAATATCAGCAGCAAAGGAAGGAGGAGAAAGAACAAAACGGAAAATATTTTGGCCATTCACAAGAACTCTTCGCATTTGATCTGTTTTTATCTTGTGGTTTTACTATACATCTGAAGAATGTTGCTTTGAGAAAAGTGCGATGGGGCATTTAGAATCGGTCTGAAGTAGACCGCGCGCCTAAAGTGATTTTATTTTTTCCCTTCTTATTTGAAGGCGACTCACTCTCCAATATCGACATTCCTCATTTTAATCTTTCTTATTGTATTATACGAGCCTGTTTAGCCTTTTCTCCTTGCTTTTTTATTCCCTTATTATTACTTTTTTGAGATGAGAATGGTAATATCTTATCAAAAATATCGTGTGTTCTTACCTCGTGCCAGTAGATTTTTTTTTCATTGTTATAATTCTCTATGCATTTTGTCTGTAATTAGAAGCACAGGAGAGAGAGAGCAAGAATGCTGGTTTCACAATTCTTCGCTAATTGTTATTAGTTCTAGTTAGTTGTCCTCTTCACGTTTGATCTTCTAATTCTCTAGTTATTATCGTCTTCACTTTTAGGTGTGTGCGTGTGTCGAATCCATCCCCAGAGGTGGAGCTGAGAGCGCGCGAGCGCCAACCAGGTCGCCACCCAACCCCCCACCTCGTTATTGATCGTCATTAATTGATTGATCGTAGGTATCAATACCGATATCCCGATTTGGGTGTTCATTTCCTTTTTTTTTCCTTTCCATCCCCTCTAAGACCTTTTGG